AGACTTTTCAACTGCATTAGCCCTACTAATATAGTTTCTTGCTGCACAAACATAAACAATAGACTAATTAAATAAATATTTCTCATGTATAAACTATTGGCAATATAATTTGACTAAAATTTAGTAAATATTCACAGTTTATATACATGCAGTAAGGTTAGGCGCATTATCATAATATTAACGAATTACCTATTGTGGAGAAAATTGAAATAGCTGTTGCATAAAAACCAGAGCCAATTAACACATTTAATTATTATATTTGAATTCAGTGTGTTAGATTTATTAAGAAACGGCACATTTCGTTTCCGCAACTGAGAAAAACTGAAAATTTGTAGAACAGTGTAACTGGCAAATAGAAGGAGAAAACGTGGAGGCAGTGACAGACTTTGTATTTCTAGGTGCAAAGATTATTGCAGATGCAGACTGCAGCCAGGAAATCAGAAGATGTCTACTTCTTGGGAGAAGAGCAATGACCAATCTTGATAAAATAGTGAAGAGTAGAGACATCACACTGGAACAAAGATCTGCATAGTTAAAGCAATGGTATTCCCCATAGCAACCTATGGATGTGAGAGCTGGACCATAAGGAAGGCTGAGCGAAGGAAGATAGATGCTTTTGAACTGTGGTGCTGGAGGAAAATTCTGAGAGTGCCTTGGACCGCAAGAAGATCCAACCAGTCCACTCTCCAGGAAATAATGCGCAACTGCTCACTGGAGGGAAGGATATTCAGAGGCAACAATGAAGTACTTTGGCCACATCATGAGGAGACAGCAAAGCCTAGAGAAGACTATTATGCTGGGGAAAGTGGAAGGATAAAGGAAGAGGGGCTGACCAAGGGCAAGATGGATGGATGGCATTCTTGAAATGACTGGATTGACCTCTGAAGGAGCTGGGAGTGGTGACTGCTAACAGGGAGCTCTGGTGTGGGCTGGTCCATGAGGTCACAAAGAGTCAGAAGCGACTGAATGAATAAACAACAAATATAAAATAGAAAAATCAGCATTACTTTTTGGAATTACAAAAAATTGAATATTTTTAAATTTATGCAGAATCCATGGATATGGAGGGCCAGGCCCGTAGCCAGGATTTCGTTTCCGGGGGAGGGGGGGGGGCTAAAAAAATTTCAGAGGGGGTTTCGAGGGGGGGGGAGTTTCGGGGGGGGGGTGGGGGGGGTTTTTTTTGGGGGGGGGGGCTGAGTTTGGTTGGGGGGGGGGCTGAGTCTGAGTGAAAGAGGGTCTACCCTAGCAAACCTTTTGTATCGTTACCCCAATACCCCCATGCATATGGGATATATTGAGTATGGTGATCAGATCATGATATGAATTAACATAACAGTTTAAATAATGCACCAGTAAGGCCTTTTCGTGAACCACCATGAGAATTTGGGGGGACTGTGGTTTAAACTTCTGAGCTGCTGAACTTGCTGACCGAGAGGTCACCGGTTCGAATCAAGGGAGCAGGGTGAGCTCCCATGGTTAGCCCCAGCTTCTGCCAACTTAGCAGTTAGAAAACATGTAAATGTGAGTAGATCAATAGGTACTGCTTCTGCGGGAAGGTAACGGCACTCCATGCAGCTATGCCGGCCACATGACCTTGGAGGTATCTACAAACAACACAGGCTCTTTGGCTTAGAAATGGAGATGAGCGCCACCCCCCAGAGTCAAACATTACTAGACTTAATGTCAAGGGGAAACCTTTACCTTAAGATAACAAATCTGTAAAATGTTACTTTTGGGGGGGGGGGCTGAAGCCCCTCAAGCCCCCCCCCCCCCGCCCCCCGCTACATGCCTGTGGAGGGCTGACTGTATTTACTATTTATTCTGTACTGTTTTCTCTGATATATTATACTGAATGTTCTGCTGTTTGTTTGCTTCTTCAAAAAGCTGCCAATAGGTGTCTCCTTTGAGCTGGGAAAATGATTTTTTTGCTCTCCAATTTCTGTCTTTCAAATAGCTGATGAAAAACTTCTTATAGTTAGTGCATTCATGCTGCAGTGTTACAAATCACTGACTGAGAGATTATCACTTTCTCATAAAAATATAAATAATATATGTAGTGTTTTAATGTTATTTCTTTTAAAACATAAGGGTGGAACTCACTAAGGCAGTGAGGAGCCCTCGGAGGCATAATGGGTTAAACTCTTGTGCCAGCAGGACTAAAGACCGACAGGTCTGAGATTCAAATCCAAGGACAGTGCAGATGAGCTCCTTCTGTCAGCTCCGGCTCCCCATGTATTCTAATGGGTGGCAGTCAGGTTACTCACTGGAGCGGCGTACAGGGAGCGTACAGGGAGCACACAACCCCCTTGTTACATCAGCTCCACTGGCTCCCAGTCTGCTATCGAGCACAATTCAAAGTGCCTATAAAGCCCTAAATCAGTGGTTTTCAACCTGGGGGTCGGGACCCCTGGAGGGGTCGCGAGGGGTTTTTAGAGGGGTCGCCAAAGACCATCAGAAAACACAACATTTTCTGTTGGTCATGGGGGTTCTGTGTGGGAAGTTTCACCCAATTCTATCATTGGTGCGGTTCATAATTCTCTGATTGTAGGTGAACTATAAATCCCAGCAACTACAGCTCCCAAATGGCAAAGTCTATTTTCACCAAACTCCACCAGTGTTCATATTTGGGCATATTGAGTATTCATGCCAAGTTTGGTCCAGATCTATCATTGTTTGAGTCCACAGTGCACTCTGGATGTAGGTGAACTACAACTCCAAAACTCAAGGTCAATGTCCACCAAACCCTTCCAGTATTTTCTGTTGGCCATGGGAGTTCTGTGTGCCAAGTTTGCTTCAATTCCATCTTTGGTGGAGTAAAGCATGCTCTTTGATTGTAGGTGAACTTTAAATCCCAGCAACTACAACTCCCAAATAAAAAAATCAATCCCCCCAACCCCACCAGAATTCAAATTTGGTCCAGTGATGAAAATACATCCTGCATATCAGATATTTACATAATAACAGTAGCAAGGTTGCAGATATGAAGTAGCAATAACAATAATTTTTTGCTTGGGGGTCACCATAACATGAGGAACTGTATTAAGGGGTTGTTACATTAAGAAGTTTGAGAACCACTGCCCTAAATGGTTCCAGCCCAGCTTACCTGTCGGAATGTATCTCCCTCTCTGACCCAACTCGGAAGTTAAGATCATCTGAGGAGGCCCTGCTCTTGATTGCACCACCTTTGCAAGCGTGATTGGTGGGGATAAGAGACAGGGCCTTCTCAGTGGAGGCCCCTCAGCTATAGAACTCCTTCCCCAATGAAATCAGGTCAGCTCCCTTCATCCTGTCGTTCAGGAAGATGCTTAAGACATGGCTGTGGAACCAAGAATTCAATTAGTAAATAGTGCAATAAGGATAACAGACTAATGGAATTGGCGATTGGACAGGCCTTGGATTACATCAGTGCTTTTCAACCTTCCTAATACAGCGACCCCTTCATACAGTTTCTCATGTCGGGGTGATTCCCCCCCCCCAACCATAAAATAATTTTCGTTGCTACTTCATAACTGTAATGTTGCTACTGTTACGAACTATCATGTATATATCTGATATGCAGGATGTATTATCATTCACTGGACCAAATTTGGCACAAATACCCAATATGCCCAAATCTGAATACTGGTGGGGTTGGAGGGAGATTGATTTGTAGTTGCTGGGATTTATAGTTCGCCTACAATCAAAGAGCATTTGAACCCCACCAACGATGGAATTCAACCCAACTTGGCAGACAGAATTCCCATGACCAACAAAAAATACTGGAAGGGACACTGACCATGAGTTTGGGAGTTGTAGTTCACCTACATCCAGAGAGCACCGTGGACTCAAACATGAATCCACGAATACTTGTCATGAATACTTAATATGCCTAAATGTGAACACTGAGGAAAATAGACCTTGACATTTGGGAGTTGTAGTTGCTGGGATTTATAGTAAACCTACAATAAAAGAACACTCTGAACCCAGTCCATGATGAATCTGCATCAAACTTGGCACACTACCTACATGTCCAACACTGAATACTGGTGGGGTTGGGGGGATGTTTTTGAATTCTGGGAGTTGTAGTTCCCCAACACCAAAAAGGAAGAGAAAGACAGGCGGAGAGATCTTCGGCCTTTTCTACCAAAGGGTTCTTAAGGGTTCCTAAGACCATCAGAAATACGTGTTTTCTTTGGCAACCCCTCTGAAACCCCCATCGCGACCCCTCCAGGGGTCCTGACCCCTAGGTTGAGAAATACTGGATTACATGATTTTAATTGATGTTTTAAGAATTGATGTTTAATTGTATGGTTTTAATTGTATTTGTTAATTGTTATATTTATATGTATAAGCCTCAAATCGTTGCTTGCTGTGAGGCCGCCCTGCGTTCCCTTTTAGGGTGAGAAGGGCAGGAAACAAATACGTGAAATAAATAAAATAAAGTAAATATCTTCCAGTTCAAATCAGAAAATGTGGGATTTTATTCAGCCGTGTGGAAGGGGCCTTAGAAAAGTTACTGTCGTGTCTACAACTTTTCAAATCTCCGATCCAAATCTCTCCCTTTTGAGAGAGGAAGAAAAAAAAACAGAGGTGCACAAATGTGCTGAATACATTTAAAAGAACAAAAAGCTGTAAAAAGTTTGTTTTTGGCATAAACTTTCATGGATCAAAGCCTATTCGAGCAGGTGCCTCAGAGGCAGGGGGCTGTCATTCCCAGCAGCTTATGCCAAGTAAAGTGTGTTAGTCTTTCCACTGGTGCAAGCTTGTTTTGTTCCGGTCTTTTGCAGCAGACTGGTGTAGTTACTCTCTATATGTCACCTCCAATTACGATACAAATTTTAAAAGTCATTAAAGAAAGGGACATTTTCACCATTTTTCCTGCAAGCAGTGCAAAACTACGATCATATTAGTTCTAACTATTTGAGATGTTGTTTATAACCCATCAAGGAGTAGAAATGGAGAGCTCTGTGTCAAAGGGGGTTTGTTCTTTGCTTTCTCTCTGTGGGTTGTGCGTATGCATG